ATGTTGTTGCTTTTCTTTTTTGCAGCTATGAGACGCTTTTGAAACTTGTTCCTAATTCCTTTCTATTCATGCAATAGACCAAAAAATGAATGATCAATGAGGAACGAAGACATGAAATATTGATAGCATTGATCCATAATATAGCACACCGAGTCAAATGTGATTAACTAAGTCAAACACAAAAAGGGTTAAAAAAAAAAACGTAAGAATAACCCAGTCAACAAAGATGTTGATGGATTCAGCTGAATACTACATCATGAAAGTTTAAAATCCCCTTGGGTTATGAGTCATGTAAGTCAACCGAAAGATATTGGACAAAGCAAAAGCCTGTAAAACCAAATCCAAATGATAAATCATTGTGCTTTACCACGAAGATGACACAAAGAAACAACAGAAAGCATCAATCATACCGTACCAAAAATTACACACAATTTTTTTTACCTATATTCTCCTTAAGATTAAAGAGATTAAGAAAGGTACCGAAATCATGCACACACATTCGAGGGAGAAGATACCAAAACCCATAATTAAGCAGTAATTGAGTATAAAAAAAACCTAAAGATATTCACACATTCACATATTCCCAATGAGATAAAAAAATCCAAGACAAGTTAGTGAGCTAATTATCACTCTCGTTAGGAGGCCTTTCTTCACGTAAACATAATACCCATAAGTTTCACTCAACACACCATAAGCTTGGGGCTTGAAGCGGCAGAGCGCGAGAAGGAGAATGAAAATAGAAGAAGGACAAACCAAAGTCTGGAATCAAAATGGCACTGACAGCAGTGGGAGCGGAATGGGGTCGTGAGCTTAAAAAAAAGAAAGAAAGAATAATAAGCGGACTTTGCCCGAGCAGAGAAAGACGGTTTGTTTAGTCCAATAAACAAAGAAGCTGAACATGGCGCCTTGATAGACTACTGGTGGAAGTTGTTGTCGGAAACCATGATGAGCACTAGAGACTGGAGAGGACTTGGTGAGACTAATCTGATCATTTGGAGCTTCAAATCAATGACAGTGAAGGACATCAATTTTGAATATTTCCCAAATCCTCGCATGCAAATAAATTTGTGGTGAATTTTTTAGGCAAATTTTCCTATTTTTTTAAGAGGTAAACATGCCGACAATAGAGAGAGATATATATATATATATATATATTTGTCTGAGTACCGAGGCAAAGGGTAGACCATAATTTTTAATTTTCAAGATATTTTTTAATGTTTTAAATGTACTTTCACATTTTTTTAACCTTCAACTATGTTTCCACAGATTATCAGAAAATGTATTTTTCACATTTAGTCGTAAACTATTTCGATATCTGATTAAAAAACTAAGGGATGCTTGGAAAAGCTTGGCAGTCACGTTAAGTATACGCCAAACCAACTAAATTTGTTGCACGGGGCCGACATGGGCTCCTGATTGCATTGCCTTTTGTCAGGCGGGACAAATAATATTAATTAAGTATTAAGTAGCAATGGTAATAGTAATGCCTTTTCTCTTTGAGGTTTATGCCCGTCCATTAACCATCTTCCCGTTGTTTCCAGGTATCATGTGTTTGTCCATCAGGTCCGAAGAGAGACATGTTTATCCATTACCTGTTCAACCCAAAAAAAGAAAAGAAAAAACATGACGACTTCAGGGAAAATGTACTATTTACATATTTCCATTTTGTATTCCAGTCACCCCGACTTTATTTTTTTATTTTTTTAACTATCCAGTCATGAAGTATTTTAATTTATGCTTAAAGTTTTCTTTTGTTCAATTTTAATCATTCAACAATTAACATAATTTAAGATTTTAAAATCAGAGATTCAGATATTTTTCTTTCAATTACTATAAAAGTTTGTTTTAGTAGACTTGATTAGAAAACCATAAAACAATAATGAACAAGACAGATAACGAACTTAGTTGGATTTAAATCCTCTAAAATTAATATTGGTGGATTCAGGTGGAGTTTTTTTTTAAAGTATTTTTTTTATTTTTGTATAAAATGTAAATCTTCTCTCTTTCTTAGAAAGGGAAACTTCACGAGAATTTATCAACCTTATCCTAATGTAGTCAACACCATCCCGTTCCAGCGTTGGATAGCATTAATAATCATTAACCACATGCCGCGAATCCCTCAAAGAGCAAAGGAGTCGAGCGGGCTTCATTACAAGGAGCATCCAATCATTGTCGCGTTTGCTTGGATCTAGCACATTCTTCTTTTATTTATTTATTTATGAAAAAAATTAATCTTTTAATTATTTAACTTTTAATTCATTTATAACCCATTCTCTCAATTATGACTCGCTGTGACTCAGTCCCTCAACTATAACTCGCTGCAACTCAATTTCTCAACTTTTGATTTACTTATAGCTTGATCCTTATTTTTTAATTTTTTTAAATTTTTTTATCAAATAAGAGGGATAAAAAATGTTCATATATTATTTTAAAATACTCTCTTCTTATTCATTAATGTGAGATATAGGCTAATATGAAAAAAAATTAATAAAGATTAAGGGACTAATTTGTAAGTGATTTAAAAGTTGAGGGACTGAGTTATAGGTGAGTTATAATTGAAGAACTAAGTCACAGTGAATCATAATTGAGAGATTGAGTTATAAGTGATTTAAAAATTAAAGGACTAAAAAATCAAATTTTTATTTATTTATTTATTTTGGTCTAGGGTCATCATTTTTCCCTGACTTTCTTTTTCTTTTCTTTTTAATAAACGCTTGGCATCCTCCGTTGAAGAATGTGGCAACTTTTTTCTAAATATTTTTTTAAAAACAAAATCATCTTTTTACCATAAATCTATTCATTATTTGCTGACATGAAATAATTATAAAACTACAAATGATGGCAACAAAACAATTTCACATTTAGCCGTCATTTTGCTGCTAAAATAAGACCTTCTTGTTATTATCACTAGCGCTTTTCATTCTTTTGGCTCATGTTAAATGGTTGAAATGAGTTGAAATGCATTAATGTCATTATATCTTGACCTTACAATTATTTCACATTAACAGGTAGTGAAAAAAATGGTAGGGCTAATGAAAGTGCAACTTTACTCCTAAAAAATAGTTGATGAATAATATTGTCCTATCCTTAAGTTATATGCTTGATGCTTATGGAATGTTTGTTTGGGGAATAATTTTAAATCATTTTTTACTTATTGCATTTGATATTTTGGGTTTGTCCTAAGCTAAAATTTTTTAATGAGACTTGAATTAATTTATATTGAAACTCAAACTCAAGACATCAAATTAAGTTAAGAAACAATAACTTACAGTTTAAGAAAAAAAGTAAAAAAAAAATCCCTTCCTCGGTTGATTTAAGCGTTACATGGTTAATAGTTAATATGCTTATTGATATGAGGAAAATTGGACCTTCCAATCCATAATATTTTTTTTATTTTCGACTTGGTCTTTTTAATCCCTCAGTTTCGTATTCATTCAAAAGTAATTCTCATGGCTTGTAAAAAGGGAAACGAAAATGCCCGGTTTCAAAAAATGTGCTTGAAATTAGATGAAACTCACCCTACTCGTTCCTTGTAATTTTCTCATTTCCAAAGCACAAGAACTATTTATTTTTGGTTATGAATCTACATCAATGGCGGAGCCGGTATCCACAGCTATAGTGGGGGCATTTTAAAAAAATATTTTTTATGTGCAAAATAAAAAAATACATTAAGTAATTTCACTACAACATAAAAAATGCATATACATTTTTTTATATATTTAATACATAAAAAATATATTTTCAATCTTTAAATTTCATAAAGTATATCTTGAATGTTTTAATCCTAATATTACTACTTTTATTAGTAAAAATTTTCTAAACATTCAAACATTGATAAATTGGTAAAATATTCTCAAATCTCAACATATTAAATTTATTTTTAAATAACAATAATTAATGAAAAATAATTATTCTAAACTTACATTAAGAAGACTGTAAAGATATTTTATAAAATTAAACTACTAATCTAAAAATTTATATGAACTCTTAACATCAAATGAACTACTTTGATCCTCTTTATAAGTTATTTTTATTAATTTCATTAATGTCACCGCAAAAGAAATGTACAAGAAATAAGAGTGTGTAAAATTTTAAATACCTTCCTATATAACAAATTCAAAAAATAATATTATGTTACTTTTATCTCTCATGAGTCATAAAAGATAATTTTGAAAAAACCTCTCAAGCATTACTTAAGAAGTAATATCGTGACTTATAAAATGAGATAAAATAAACCTTTTAGAGTGTGCCTTATAAATGAGATCAGCGAAATACCTTTTACCTTAGTCATGTATTAAATATCTATACTATACTTTTTCCATGTATGACATAACTCTCCTCCTTAGGGTTGTGCAAAAGTCTTTTGATTTGATCCAACCTAGTTTGACATGAGATATCTTGTCTTGTTCAGGTTGTATAAACATTGGTCCTTCAGAACCAAAAAGGCTAAAAATAATAGACTAGTTTTTCAGATTGGACTGAATAAGAAATTGAGGATTTGGACCACTTAGTCCAGTTTAATCCTATTAATTTATTTAATATAATTATAATTAATTTATTTTTGATGAATGCTTTAAGTTTAATTAACGTTAAGGAGATGAATGTATAAAAATTTATCAAATTTATTTTTAAATTATTATTTTAATTTAAGATTGTTGAAGTTTGTTGAGTGTTATTTTTGTTAAATTACAAATTTAAATAATCTAAACTATAACTGAAATATTTTTTTCTTAATATTAAAAATTATTTTGAATTTATTACAATTATAATTATAAATATTTTTATTATTTTAATTGAGTTTATTAGATTGAAATGAATTATTACCTTTGATAGAAAAAAATAATAAATATTAAACTAATAGGATTAATTTTTTAATCTCATATATTAAATTTAATTTTATTAATTTTTAAATTATTACTATACAAAATTAAATTATGAATTGTCTAACACAGTCATTCTCACGAAAGAACGTGCTCCAATGAGCAGTCCAATGCAGCCCTACTCCCCTTTCTTGTTTGACCGGAACACAGAACTCTCCTTATAAGAAACTCATTTGTAAAGGCATCGATTTTTTGTCATTTCATTCTATTCCCACTCACCGGAGAAGAAGCAGCCTGAGATTCGAGGCCATATCATGGATGATCACAAGGTTATGCTCGAACAAGTCTTTGGCCTATCATCCGATAGCGAAGTCGAGGATTCAATGCACGAAGACGATCGATCGCGGCATCTTCTGGCACAGAACCCCATCTTCCAATCTGTTCCCCAAATTAATGGCCTTTGGTTCTGCAGAGACTTTCTCTCTTCTGATCAACAATCTATCTTGCTCTCCGCTATCCGAAAGGGTTCGTTTCCTCCTTTTTTCTTACGCCCGATGTGTTCCCCCAATCTTCTAGCTGCACATATATCCAGGATTCCAAATATTCGCGAACCCTCGGTTATATAATTCACGCACCGATGGTGACTTTTTCCACTTTGAATAATTCCGGATTCCGGACTTTTGGTGTACGCGCACGTTGTTTTTGTCATTCATTGATGAATGATGCTGGAATCTGACGGCTGACGCTACATGCTTTCAAATTTGTGGTTGCAGAAGGGTGGTTCAACGAAGCCTTAAGAAATCAGGTTAGTCAATCATTTTGCTTTTTAATCACTAGACACTGTAACATCGAATTGGGGAAGTTTTGTGAAACGTGACTCTCCATACATTATAAGTTCCTTTAGTAGTTGACGCGCGGTAGCGCTGAGGTTCCGGTTAAATGAAAAATTGGACACATTCCATGAATCAGGGGCTTTAACTTTATTAAATGTAGAACCGATGGTGAGATATCATGATTGAAGGGTTAAGGTGCTAAGGACACTGCGAGTTCTTGGTTTGAGTGACTTTAATTCTTAAATTAAGGAATTTGAGCCCCTTGTTCGTGCATATATTCTTTATTAAGTTTACTATCACGTGTTTTTGTCCCTGTTGTTTAATAGGTTCTAGCGAGGTTAGGGGGAAGGTAACATTGCGACAACAGATATATCACATATCAGCATCCCCTACGTAGTTTAGACGTCTTAATCCCCCGTTGCTTATTACTATGGCGTCTCTGCGGCTAGCAACGGGTGACAAACGCACAATTCCTGGGATATGTTCGAATTTAATACACAGAAGGCATCACTAAAAATTTTCAGGTTCATAATTTTGTGGAATAATACCTTTACTGCTGAATTAGTGGTGGAATTTTAACAATTATGAGTCAACTTAGCCTAATAATTGATGGCTAACTTCTCTCGAGTTATATCTTTGAGTGCACCTAATGATCCAAATTATAGACTTACAAGCATCTGAACAAGAAAATGGGTATTTTATCAATAAATTATAATGAAATAGCAAAAGAAAGAGTAGTTGCTTATCGTGGTCAATTATCTGCTTGTTGCCAATCATCTTTTGCTGTGCGTTGGATTGTCTATACTCTCTAGTTTGATAACTTCCATGGTTTAAAATATTCGTCTGACCTTTCTTCAAGAATCAGGCCATGAGGTTCGGTGATCTTCCGACTTGGTCTACCGAACTATCAGACTCTATTCGTGAATTAGTGTTTTTTAATGATGATGGTTTTCAAGGGGATGGGCAAACCAGTGCATTGCCATGGGACCTACTCTGGCGAGAGCCGCTTTTCAACCAACTGATTGTAAATGTGTACGAGCCGGGTGAGGTGCGATATGATTAACCCTCTGTAGATAGTGTTATACTGTTAGCTGCATCGACTTCCCCCAATAAGAGATGAGCTGTTATGTTTATCACAATCTACCAGGGAAATGATTTAACTAGGACGCCCGTTTAAGCGGCTCTTCTTTTACCCGATAACTAATTCCTTAGCTGCAGTGAAGCTTGGTTTTTCTTGTAACTCTTAACCCCGAACACTCTTTCCAAGTATATCTTTGCGGATTTGATTCTAGAATTTCTTGTTTGGTTCAATTTATCCGTGGCAGTGATCTTATGCTTGGTTAAATTGGTCATTTCGAGTCATGAGTTTATTGCATCATTCATAACCTTTGGTATTTGGATCCTTCAATGCTATCTGACTTATCTTCTTCTTTTTTTGAAAAAATATGAACTGATTTATCTTTGTTAGAATGTAATATTAGTCTTGTCTTACTTCTTTATTTTGTTAGACCATATAAGTTTCAAATGGGTTGTATTTCTTATTTTTGACAAACTAAATGGGTTGTATTTCTGGCTTCATAGCCTTCTCTGCTATAAATATATGTAACACAAGGCTTTCATTGCATCAAGGCTTTTTAACGCCTTATATCTCTTTCTATTGCGTACAATCTCCTTCACCTTTATGTATTTGGGGGCTGGATCATGTTTGGAAAGGGAGTGTGCCCTATTTTCGGTCAAGATGCTAATGCATATATTTCAGGGTATTTGTGCACACGTCGACCTTTTGCGCTTTGAAGACGGCATTGCAATCGTCTCGCTAGAATCACCTTGCGTCATGCATTTTACAAGGGTTGAATCAACAGCTGATGGCGTTGAAAATGAAGAAAAATCAAGCTCATCCACAACCAGGGTTCCCATTTTACTCACACCGGGCTCCTTGGTTTTGATGTCAGGGGAAGCTCGGTATAACTGGAAGCACGAGATCAATCGCAAACCCGGGTTTCAAATATGGGAAGGACGCGAATTAGATCAAATGAGGCGGACCTCCATTACACTCAGGAAGCTTTGCCCGTCAGAGTAGGTTCCGTTTGTTTATATTTCTTGACCGACTTATTCGAACAGAGATGTCCTGAGTTTGGACGAAATATCATTTTTATTCAATGGCTGAGCTTGTTTTCAGTATGTGTTGTGTTATTTGCTGCAAGATACGGAAGAACGATTCGAATTAGTTGATTCTGTTACTCGATCAACAGTAAACTCTTTTTTGTTTTTTAAAATAACCAGCCTCTGTCTCCCAGCTGGCGATGAATGTTGTTGATTTACAACTGAGGCCATGATTCAAGTTTGACTAGTGCAATATAATATTGATCAAGAGTTTGCTCATTTGCCACCTTTTTGCCTATCTTTAGTGGAGTACTTGTTCCTTTGTTGACATCTCAGCCATAGAATACGTTTTGATCAACAAGCTTATTACCATCAATTTAGTTTCTCGTTTAGGCCAGGAATAATATAAGGACTGTCATGACATAATTGGGTGACATATGACGCCAGTAAGGTCTGGTATGATCTTATAATATGATTTATGCAATAATAGAGCCATCTGAAACAATAGTTTTGTGCTGAGTCCAGTGTAAACCACTTATTAACTGATAAGTAACCTTTCAATCCAAACTCTCCGCTTGAATCATCACCCTGATCGTCCCATGTTTCTAAATTTCAATAGACGGACTAAGCAATATATTGTAAATACCATTAACAATCACAATGCCGTGTCATGTAGAGACTAGATACCGACGCAGATAACAGTATGAAATCTCGACAAGGAGTAACACGCGAGAGAAAAATTTAATCTGTAATGATAAACCGCGTCTCACTGCCTGTCTCATCTTATGCCCTCCGGGGCGTAACATACAAAACACTGGGGAAATATTCACATCGGGTGGCGTCTTTACCGTACGCTGAGCCTTTTACACAACATTAATTTCTACACGTGCGTAACACTGTTCCGTTCGGTTTTCACAAGAAGACGTATGTAATAACTTCAAACAAAAACGAGCTTAAGATTTACAAGAGAGAGGAAAGCAGTCCATGCCAGACAAGGCTTTATCAAATCACCGGAGATGGGATTCACTTGCCCAAATAGACGATAGCACCCGACCATGGCTGCAAACATCCCGAAACACAGAATCAAGCCGATCCGCGTCGCCCCCGCTCCGAACACGAGTGGATCCCAAAGCAGAGTCAACAAAAGCTGGGCCAAGTAAAACAAGAGAGCGTTGGGGTGCCTATGGAAACCTCCGTCGGCCCACACCATCCAGGCGGCGAGGCCCATCAAGAAGCACGATGCCGGACACGTCAGGTGCAGGGCCCACATGGGCGGGAACCAGAAGGGCTTTGTGTCAGCCACGGGGTCGACGCTGGCACGGCTTTTGCCGGACCCCAAGTAGGCGCTGAGCAGAGAAAGGGAGAGAGGAAGCGTCACCGCTATGGTGAGCGATCTAAGGCCTCGTTTGGCCATGGCCATTCTCCTGTTGCTAATCTTACCACCCATCTTGCTCTTGCCGTCCACGGCGGCGGGGGCTTTCGCGTCGTCTTTGAATCGCTGTTTGAGATCTTGGGAAGCCATATTCTTGGAAAGAGAGAGAAGCGAATGTTATGGGAGGTGTTTTAAAGGACGGGGATCGGTTTTATAAGGGAGAGCGGGTCTTCCTCTCGGGGTGTCTGTTTTGGGGGTGACAGATGGGTGGAGGAGATTCAATGTTGATGGCCGCCGAGGACTACGCGGCTGTGACTCATAGTGCCAGGGAGTCGCACTCCGCTTTGGATCGAGGTCGTTATTTTAGTTTATCATTGTTCTTATTCTCACGCAGCAGAATAATGTGGAGGTGCAGGAGGTGGCAGCTCCGCCAAATGACACGTGACGGTGCTATGTTTTCAGGTCTCTGTAATTACGACGAGGATGGATAAGTGTCATGGGCCGGATGAATTACCATGCCCGACACCTGTTGAACTGCTTTGCCGACTGGATACAGAGTAAAATATTGCCAACAATGCCCCCAAAGAGCAGAGCGGCCATCATTAGTTCAAGCATGTACCCCCTCTCTGTCCTTCAAGTCGTACCATCCACTTTGCTCGCTGCAGAGGCAGCGTTGCATACAAAATCATCTGCCAGCTCACCACAAGCGGCCTTTCCACCACTCTCTGCACAAACGCATATCCGCTTTGTCTGGGATATCGCCACGGCACGCACAGTCGCTTTGCTCACAGTCACTAGTGTCGTACCGCTTGTATAATCAGAGACACAGCCAACAATTTTCATCAAGGAAGACCGAGATTGTAATCTATACATATCACTGATATGATATAAATATTTTAATATATATATATATATATATTTAATTTTATACATATATAACAATATATGTATATTATATTAATTTTGTTCATTAATTTTTCATGATAGAAAAATTATTAATTATTATATTTAGTATAAATATTTAAAAAAATAACAACAAAATCTCTTTAAACTATTTAAATGATAAATTGATCTCATAAAATAGTATAATTCTCCAGAAGTTTTAAAGGATATTTTTGTCACTAAAAAATTATAAGAAATGACACTTTTATCCTTTATTCAAATTAAAAAAAATTCACAACTTTTCATGCATAACTTTTGTTCGTATATTAATAGCTTTTGTTTTTAAATTTACAGTAATTTAATAGCTATTTGCAAGCCCTAATTTGCAGGTTTTAATATGCATCAAGTGTTAAAAATTTATAATTTTTCATTCACAATTTTTATTCTTATATTAACAACTTTTGTTTTTAAATTTATGAAAATTCAATAGTCATTCGCAACTATGCATTGGCAGGTTCTGGTATACATCAGTGTTGAAAATTTGTAACTTTCTATTTACAACTTTCGTTCCTATATTAATAAATTTATTTTTAAATTCGCAACAATTCAATAGTCATTTACAACTTCACATATGCAAGTTCTGATATGTATCAAGTGTTTAAAATTTGCAACTTTTATTTTTATATTAATAACTTTTGTCCCTATATTCACAACAATGTAGCAAGGAATTGTAATTTATCAATACCATCTATAAATTAACTAAATTAAAAAAATGAATTACTGCTCTAATCCAAAAAATTATAGCTTTTATTAATTTAAATGACAATAAAACCTTAAAAAGCGACAACTATATAAGGTTTTGTTGTCAATTACATAATCTATAACTTACATCAAAATATTCTACAACCCTTTTGACAAAACTATATGAAGGTTTGAATCTTCTAGTGTCATCCCAACATGTCAATTATCTCTCATGCCAACCTAAAATAATAAAATAGCCATTTATCAACATGTCTATTTTTCAAATATCATAATTATATATTTGTTATATTTTATCCAACAACGACCATTCTTTTTATATTTACAACTTTGTATTGGTTATTTACAACTTTGGTTTATACATTTACAACACAACTGAAAATGACATATCATTTATCATTTATTCATAGGTATCTATAATCACTTACAACAGAGAAAATGAAGACCTCAATTATCTATACAAATTAACCCTCGTCAACTTCAATTATTAAATATGGGAGAAAAAAAAATTCACGGAGAAGAAGAAACTCACCCAAATACAGCACAATTAACGGAGAAACTCACATACAGAAACTAAAAAAGAAATAAGATAGACAAGAAGGAGAAGGAGAAAGTGACGGACTAAAAGAAGAGCATGAAGAAGAGAAGAGGAGGAGAACAAGAAGACGAAGCAAAGGCAAAAACGCACAAAAATGACTTTACATTGAGGCTTGAAAATTTTGTTTTACTTGAGGGTAATTTGATCATTTCCTTTAATTCCTTAATGACAGAAAAATTTCATGGGACTTGAGAGAAATTATGCTATTTTGTAGGATTAATTTGTTATTTATATAATTTAAATGAATTTTTCTATCATTTTCATTAAATGTTTTAATAATTTCTTTCTCAATAAAAATCATCATTAAATTGGTGAATATTTTATCATTCCTATGAGCAGTAAATAATTTAAATATATCATTAGAATATAAAATTTTGTTCAATGTAATAAGCCATATTACTTGTTTATTGAATTTATCATTTAATTTTTTTAATTGATAATTGTTGTAGACAAATATATCAACACATTAATAATGCTCAATTGTCATAAAATATTTATGTCAACGGGATCAAATTATATCAAAGTAAAAGTCATTCATATTATAAATTTTAATAGCTTGATTATTGTAAAAAAATAATTTTTTTTACTAGAACATCTTCACCAAACCTCTTAACTTTTAGATAAGTAATTTTATAACAAATATCAAGCATATAGCACTTAATATATTTTGGGATTTTTGTTGCAATTCTTAAAAAAGTTTGTCAATAATTTTCACAATTTCTTTCATTAAATATAAAAAGGCATTAATACTTTAAAAGCATGTATAGTATTATTTTATTAAAAATTAGTAGATCCTATGAAAATTATATCTTCAAGCTATTAAAATAGTTGCTCTATACACATATAAAAGATCATATATAGAACTAAATTGAGAATTTCATCTAGCATTTTATAACTTTTATAATTTTTCAATTTATAGGAGTCAAAAAATATTTAACCCTTATATTTTATTAAGAAAAAATTAAAAAATTATGGGGCTGTGGCCCTTGCTGATCCCTCTCTTTTCACCCTTGTGTATGATCTTATCCCCTCATGTGCCTTAATCATAATTTTACTTACCAGGGTTAAGGCACTTCACTTTATATATTATTTACCAAACTTTTTAACTTTTAAATAAGTGATTTTATACTAGATATCAAGCACATGATACTTAATATATTTTGAAATTTTTGTTGCAATGCTTAAAAAAGTTTGTCAATAATTTTCACAATTTTTTTCATTAAATATAAAAAGGTATTAATACTTTAAGAATATGTATAGCATTATTTTATTAAAAATTAGTAGATCCTATGAAAACCATACCTTCAAGCTACTACAATAATTGCTCTATACATATATAGAAGACTACATATAAAATTAAATTAAAAATTTCATCTAGCATTTTATAACTTTTATAATTTGTTAATTTATAGGGGTCAAAAAATATTTAAACCTTATATTTTATTTAAAAAAAATTAAAAAATTAAGGGGCTGTGGCCCTTGTTGATCCCTCTCTTTCCACCCCTATGTATGATCTTATTCCCTCACGTGCCTCAATCATAATTTTACTTACCAGGGTTAAGGCACTTCACTTTATATATTATTATCACTATTATTACTATTTTATTCTCTTTCTGTAAATGATTCCTCAACCTCAATGAATGACTTCTGATCAAAGAACATCCATGCCCCCTGTATTTTACTTTATTTGTTTGGTGGTTCTGATTAGAGTTAGAGGGACCCTTTGTGCTCTACGTGCCGGCGGGAAACAGGATTATCGCAACATGTTAAGGAGTATGAGCGGGCCCGCAAAGCTGGTCCTGGTGCTTAGCTCATCCGGCACCCTCCACATGAACAAACCTCATAGCCTGCTGTGAGAGAGTTATCAGGAACAAACTTTAGGTGCAACAGAAAATGAGAAGCCTTCTCCAAAATATTCTTTCCACGTGTAAACACACTGTTATATGAATATAGGCCAGGGCCTCGGGGTCGATTTGCCGTTCCAAAATGTACTACACAGTATACACAGCCACACTTGTAATAGACTACTCGCAAATACAACGACATTTGAGGAACACCAAGTTGGTAGCAGAGTGCAAGCACCACGGACTCAAGCAGTGCTGCTGCTGCTGCTGCTTTCCACACTCAGGTTGCTGGAAATGCATCGCCTCTATTAGATATGCAGGAAAACACACCTCCGTGTCTGTTATGTGAATTTAGTTTTCTGTGATGTTGGACATAGGCAGTTATCTACTTTGGCGGTCGATGATTCTTCCTCTTATCAGGGGTCACAATCGTGAAGGGCACATCACGGACGTGAATTCTTCTCCACCTGAGTTCCTTTCTGAAGACGTAAGAATTGAATTAACCCAGCCTGCGAAGAGTGGATGGCTACTAATCAGTTGCTTCCGGCATGGTTATACAGCACTATGACCGTTGACATGGCCTCTCAGATGCTGAATTGCAAAACATTCAAGGAGCTCTGGAAGGCAACTGAAGACCTGTCAAAGGTTTATGCTCAGTACTGGATTCCATTCTACATGGATGAGCCGCAGAGCCCCAGAAAAGGGGCGATGGGAATGGAGGAATATTTAGCCAACATGAAATCCGCTTCTAATGACCTTGATTTCGCTCGGAGTCTGTTAGATGATAATAGTGGGAACATATGATATTTTTCATTATACGTGTATACTCACTTAGTTTAGTTTGTAATTTAATCATAGTTTGTTACGATTAACCGTTTATACTTCTTGTATGCATATTGACCATATTCAATGAATGAAGTGAGTCTTCTTTTGCCAAATTACCCACTCTAATAGAGTCCATTCCCTCTTGATGATTTAATAGCTCAAAACTCTTGCAGGTTTAGATGGAGATTATAATACCATTTTTTGCCTCCTCGCACAAACGAAAAATCTCACATGGATAGATCTTCTGGCCTCACTGCTCACTTCTGAGAATCGATTGGCACGACGCAATGGAGGAAGGTGGTCATATGGAGATGAAAGCGGACAAACCTGTCAAATTTGTGGGGAAAATGGACATACTGCAGACATTTGCTATTTCAGGTACAACCCGAGCTAAATGGGCATCGTACCTGGGGAGAATTGAAAGCCCCAAGACTCTTCCGTGTTTGAAGTAAATCATTGTGTTTTGTGTTGTTGAAACTGCTCTTTCACTCCCCAAGTTTACGGGTCTTTTAACATTTTCCCTGTTTCAGTATTTCTAGTCATGAATCTGAATTGTAATCGTAATCAAATGGCCTTTCAATTTCAAACCGCATGCGAACTAATCAACTCAAGCGTCTCATTGTGCGGGTGAGCGGAGCAGCTGGAAAAATTCGATCCACTGCGTTAGTCGTGGTTAGGGTTATTAAGCGGTTAGCTAGTTATCATATTCGTTTACGCCTTTGCTGCCGTCAACTTGCTCTGCCTCATGAATGAGAGTTTGTTTATTTAAGCGGGCGGGGTCTGGAAAAGTGAAGACCATTCCGCGTCAAATTATGACTGATAGGCGGCTTTGGTTGTGTTTGGTATATGAGCATATCTAGTGCAAGATCTGGCTGACGATTTAATTCTAATTTCAGTGACAGGCCGTTTCTGTTTTTGAATTCATACATGCATGGCGGTCTGTTTGATTCAAAATTATTTCCCACTTTTGTTTAGGAGCATGTTTCTTCCATGCTGGTGGCTTAATTTTGAGACTGATCACCAATGATCTTTTACAGTCCAAGACTCCCAGCAGCCAGGCTATTTAGTTCTTATTATAGCCACTTGATTAGAGATGCTTGCTGTTAGGGTCAATTTGAAGTTGGCTAATCATCTGGATTCTTCCTACCTGCTAGGAGCTTTTGCAGTGCATGTGCGCGTTCTTTCATTGACTTAAGTTTTTTTTTTTTTTGGGCAGTAAATATTGGCCTTTGATTCCAATATTGATTCCCCTTACCTTTTGAAGCATCTGTTGGGTTCAAATTTTAGAAACAGAGTTGTGATTTTATTGTTTCCCACGAGCAATTCCACGACGCCCAACGCAAAATGTGCCAATATGGACATCAACACAACACAGATCAATAACATGATGCCACGTGTGCAAAACTCACAATCACACTGAAGTGGTAAACAAGTATGTAGAATTAGAAGAGCCGCCGTTATGAATATGTGTGGCGGTAAACTATGTAATGGCAAAGATAGGAGCAGAGGGCTCCCCCTCAGCCGTGTTGGTGGCCGCTGGCCCCTTTGCCATATATAGCAAGAAGAGGGTTCTCAGCACAGGTCACGTGGACAACAGGCACTTAGTTCTTGGCTTCCATTGAATCAAGATGCTTCGGTATGTTAATTAATTACTCTTTGCTGCCCAACCCGATCCAGTGGGCAGGTGTTCAAAACCTATTTATTTAGTCTGGGCTTACCTCAAGAACTATATAGTGTGATAGTAGTTTCATTACAACAACTACCACTTTCAGACCACAACACAAGCATGACTTCAATTTGGGATTGGTGATGTTTTCAAATTTGACATGCACATGGCTTGCTCCCTTCTCTTTGGACTCCTACTTCCTATATTTGTAAAATTTAGTGTCCCCCTTCTAAGAAGTTCGAATCATATCCCGATGGACACCCTAAAACCCAAACTAGTATCTGATTTGACGCTGTTTCAAATGAGAGTTGAAACTTAGATATTGTAAGCTATTCCTACTGGCACGTGAGCTCCTCCTCTCTCTCCCCTAATGAAAATGATGATATGACGTGAATTTTTAGGTAGATTGATGAAACTAATAAACAATTCACTTGACTCCCTTCGCAGCTCATGTCCAACGTAATTTAATGGACAATATATAAAAGCTATATGCATCTGAGTTCTTACACATCTGATATACAAACCGTAAACTCACTGTTCCAACTTATAATTATACGAGCAAATCAGAAAGCACAAGTTCACCAGTACGATAATCATCCTTTACATGCAAAAGAAGGAAGAATGAAAGAGAAACACCAGGAAGCATCACAGGCCTTAGTTATAGTGAAAGCTGTAAGAATAATAGAGAGAAAGGTGACTGATTAGTAATACTAATTAGTGCGGCAGCGAGTGATGGCGGCACATCCTCGGCTGTAAGGGTTAGCTTCCGCACCTGGTTGGCAGTTGTAGTAGGACGCGCCTCTCTGAGAGCACGGCACCGTGTTCCGCTGAAGCGCCCTGTAGCTTATATACTGAGACGTCGCTAAGATGCGCCGGCTCATCTCCATCTCCAGCGTCCCTCCCGCTCCCATGCACTCTTCTATGGAGCCTTCACACCCGCCTCCCATCGGCACCCACAGCAGCCGGTGGTCGCCGATTGTGGCCGCAGTGACCGTGACTGGATATGTGACGACGGAGGCCACCATGAACAACAAGGCCAGGAGAGACGAAAAGCTAGCCATTGTCGTTGCTTCGCCTTGTCGCTGCTGCTTCCGGTTTGAATATTGTTTCTGTTTCAACAGTCTATGCAGGATTTATTTTAATTACTTGGAGAATGTGAGCGCACTGACCTTTGGCAACTTCTTTCAAGCGAAGAGTCGGCCTTTTATATAGGGGCTCGCTATGTCTCAAGATGATTTTACCAAAATGTTACTCCATTCCCTTTTTTTCCCCCTTGCCTTTTTAAAACACCAAAACTCAGCAGGTATTATGGGAAAAGAAAATAACTCAGAAATTTATATGATTTTTAATGTAATTTTTTTGTATGATTTCAATAAAATAAGAGGGAAAAGAAGTGAGAGGAAAAAAATAGAGAGAAAGTATTATCGGTATTATTACTCTGTTTTCCAGTCTTAAAAAAATGGTCGAACAAAGGGATTTATAATATTTTTAGGTTTTTTTTTTTTCAATACGCATCTATTCAATAGATCGATTGATTGAAACAATATTATGCTATGTTTTTTTTTTTTTTTGAAAGAGAGAGAGAGTTGTGCGGCGAGATTGAGGTGTGAAGAGTTGTAGGAGGAAAGAGGTTGAAGTTCAAAATGGGGAGGAATTGCAGGGAAGAAAGTAGGGAAGCGTGGGGAGGGGGAGCCTTCAAAACCTACCAAGAAAATGATTGGAAGAAGGAAAGGATATTTGATTATTTGATCATATGATTAAAGGAAGGTTAAGATTCAAAGCATTTACGCAGCGAAGGCTAAGAATCAAGGATTGGGCCTCAAAGCCTACTGATTGAGCCCTTTGACCAATTGATTGACGATGGCTCGAACCAAATCACCATGGTTTTGAGCTCCGGCTTCTGGAAGCCTGCTGGCTTTTGCTTTTCCAAGTAATTTTTTTTTTTTTCATGGGACTCTACCAAATTGGTAAATTACCTAACACATCATCCTTACTATAATAGGCAGGCCGACCTAACGTGGTTCATGCTTCACATAATTTTGACTGAGCACTTGACGTTAAGTGATTTTTTTTTTTGGTAATCTGATCTTAAAGTGGATTTATCGCCAATACTTTTTACCACCAAACAATTTATTTATACACATACAAGAAAGCAATTTTATATTTTTCAGTATTTACATGACATTTTTTGGGTGAAAGCGTATTTGTGAGACGCAAAATAATCCAGTAAAAACATAAAGTCATCAACATCATCAAAATAATATGAACATTTAATCATAATATTTTAAAAGAAAAAAATTATCCGATGACCTCTCTCTCTCTCTCTATATATATATATATATGCGTGCATATACTTTTAAATTTTTCACCAGAAAAAAATTACAACTTGAAAAACGTCACATGCTAGAATTGACAAATAAATACGTGTAAAGTTGATCAACATAGGTGACCGCAAGATTCAAGGGGTTTTTTTCGGGTGAAGCAATCCAAATGTGATTTACCAGCAAATAAAGGAAATTTTGGAAACTATTTCGAGCAAATCGAGTTTATTCCAGCTGAATGTATTCATAGCAAATTTAAAATATCTAAACATGAAAAAAATTAAAAATTTTCAAGCAAACACTACAACACACTGTTTTTTCTACCCTTCTCAATGTCAGGCAAGGCACTTGACGAGTAAGAACAAAAAAATAAAACGCAACATTTTATATTTACTTTTTCTCAATATTTTCAAAACACATTCAAAATAAACAATCAATATTAAAACATCATTCAAGAATGCGAAGTATGCAAATTGAAAGCTTATAAAAGGATTTTTGAGTGCCAAGTGAAGGCTAAAGTGAATATGAAGTTCATTTTATCAATAATAAAAAAATTCAAATATTCAGGTCAAGTCTATTTGGATTTGATCCTGGCCTGAATTTTTTCATGATAAAAATTTTTTAGCTATAAAATTTTTCAAGCTTATTCAGATTGGTCTGGTTTTAGAGCAAACCAGCACCAAAGGATAAATACAAACAGCTGGAAGCCTAAATTAAACAATACAACCTTCTCGAATTATACAGACAAAGCAAGATTCGGACAGCAATGTCAAGCCTCTTCCTATATTCATAATATCAACTGTATCATACTTTTTTCGGCCTGAACTGTACTATTTACTTTACAGATTTCAAAAAACAATTTGGAGAGTTTAAATCATGGTAGTAAGTAGTTTTAAGGATCCAGGAAAGGTTCCCCGTGGTGATCAAGGATGATGCCATCAAGATCACAACAAAACTTGTAACCCTCCAAATTCTCAAACTGAATACTACTTACTCCATAATCCTCATCTTTCTAGCTTGCTTAGAATTGCTTCCATTGGTGGCAGCTCTTTCACAATTTGTTGCCAGTCAGGCATACCCTGCGAGCCACGATTTACAGGTGAAAAAAATCAACATCTAAAATCTAATTATCCCTGAATTCATCCCCACTGTTGACAGCGAAGATCTAAAATAAATTCAAAAGTTTCACATTTTCCGCATGTTCACCAAGTTCAGCAAAAAAAAAAAAAAAAAGGTTATTAAAGCAAGAAAAGAAAAACAAATCTACTCAAATATGAAACTTACTTTCCCTGATCTTCGAACACGCCCATCTAACCGCAGTATAATGTGGACATCTTCACCAGGAGTAACTCCTTCCGCCTTCTGCTGATCCCTTATCCACCTAGATAAGTTGACATGTATTAGCATGCGATTATGATGCACAACATATGGTTTATGCTCCCCTCTCTTTTTCAGCCTACCTCCAACCAGCAATACTGGTTTACATCAACCCGACTTTTCATCATCCATGTTAATGCTATTTCCCTCATATTTCGCAACCAAAAGTTGAAAAAACATCACATTACCTTTCCCATTCTGCTGGCGATATAACCTCAGCCTTGAACCTAATTTCAGCTTTCAACTTTGACTTTGCAACTACGGATTGTGTTCGCTCATCAAAATCTTCCTACCAAAGTTTTATCAGTTAGCATTATAATAGAAATGAGTTTCAATGAATTGATGATTCAGATAGCCACATTATTATAAATATTCTGCACTCACGTGTTTCATAAATGGTTCCCAAGACACCGGGTGTACCATAATAATATAATCAGTCGTTACTTTTTGTTTCCTTTAAAAAACCAATTGAGTTGCTCAGTATGTTACTTTCATAGCATCTGAGAAAAGGGAGAACATTAAGGGTATAAATTGAACACGCACATGCACACAAAGCTAGATGGATACCATGCTCACTTTACAATAGAAATGATAGAAGCAGTAATAAATATGATATGCCCATATCATAAATACAAGAAATGGATGATCAAGTCTCACCCCAATGGATGGAAGAGACACAGCAGCCTTCCCTGGAAGACCAAAACCTTTCTTCCCAATTTTCACTTCCCTACCTTCTCCCCAGGTTACAGGAACCAACAGAACACCGCGTCTAAGGAGCTCAGTGCGAAATCTCTCTGCTCTTTGCAAAGCCAGAGATACCGTTTCTTTCTTCCCTGCTAATATAACCTAAGACCCTATCTTTAGTTAAATAATGGAACATTTAATAATCCTATAACTCAAATGCTCAAAAGACAATAATCTCAAGTTGAAATTGTGTGGGCTGTGAAGCAGGGTCACACAGACAGATAAAATGTTGAGCAATAATACTGACTGGTCTAACTGTGTCCCGTAGCTGCACAAGTTCTACTATGCGATTAGTTGAAAGGCGCAAAGGCAACCTTGACAGTGTCTCATTTCGTGATATCTGTGCAAGTTGTTCCTCCTCTTTTTTATTATCCCAGACAAATAATGCCACAAGAACAATGATACCTGCACATTGCTGGTTCCAGTGTTCAGTCATTTAATGAAGAAATTTAAATGCGAGGTGATACATAATACAGTTATCTTCTATGTCAAAATTATCCCAAGGTTTGTCACCAGATCTAGTTAGTATAACTTAAACCTGAATTCTCAAATCAGGAAGTTAAATAAGTCCCTGTTCACCTCCAATGTTGATGGCAGCATTCCCAGCAGTTTCCCAAAGATCAGGAGCATCATCCCCCCCATTAATAGCACGGAATAGCCTAGGCAAAGTAAAGAACGTAGAAATTCCTGCAGCTGCAGTAAACACTACATAGAAGAATCTCCTAATTCCACGGAATGGTGCTTGAACTTCACTAATAAGTTTTAAGTCTCTTCGAAAACCATAGCCAATATCTTCACCGCCTAGCCTGGCCTGGTTATTAAAACAGAATACTTAAAACTGGACTACTGGGCCTTGCAAAACCCTTAAGCATTGAGTGGGAAAAACCTCTTCCTGTAGTTCTTTGAATTCAGGCAAAGCTCTGAAAGAGGATAAGTCTGGATCATTGAGAATGGTACCAAATTTTAGGTTGTATTCCTTTAGAGCTTTGCGCAGACAATCAGCTGCTTTCTTTCCTTCCCCTCTTCATACAAATAATAACAGAACAATCAATAGATAAATACAAAAGCACTTATATATATGTATGTATGCATGCATATAGAAATATATAATAACTTAAGCCTTTATTTAATCACTTGAGTTTTCATATTATCAAGGATTAGGATATGGGTGAATGAGATGTAGGATTATTTAATGCTAAGTATCCTGTAGCAATAATTAATAAGCCAGTCTTGGAAATTCAAAGAAAGATGCGAAATTTATGCAGCAACTTATGACAAATTGTGGAACCAATTTGTTCAACTTCGCAATTAGGTATACCTGTATGCATGGCAGCAAGCTTTATTATAAAGCGCAGCCTGGGCTTCCATAGGGTTGGGGTCCAAAGAAAGAGCAGTTTCAAACTGGACCAAAGCATCCTTAACCTGGAAAATCCATCGTCAATAATAGTTAATGATGAACGATCCAATCACCAAAAATGTGATTATAGGCCTAGCGGAGCACCAACGACAGAGAGAGGCATAGAACTTAACAAACGGAGCTATTGCTTGAAAAATCTTACGCGTCTCAGTGCAATCAGCAATGATGGAGCTCAAAATCAAAAGGTTTCATGATGAAAGTCCAATATTTAGTAAACAACAATATGCTTAAATTCTGCGCAATGTAAAAGAGCGAACGAATGGAAAAGTCGAAGGAAATACCCGTCCCTTGGAGAAGAGTTGGAGTCCGAGATTGACGTGATATTCCGGGGTTTCAGTGTCAGCTTCTGGAGTCTGCGATGTAGACGACGACGAGGAAGACGAGCAGGAAATGAGTAAAGACTGAGCTTTCCTTCTTGAACTTAAAAGAATGGGTCTGTGCAGTGTGGTTGAAGTGATGGTCTTCCATTTCGAGAAGTAGAGCAAGTGGTGGTGCAGAGCAGCTGCAGCCACAGCCATTGAGAAGTTTCACCATGTCACGCCACTTCCTCTTCTGTTGATCTATCCCCATTACTCACTGACTCTTTCCACACCATGTCCAAACAATAATAATCCAGCCCTTATTTGGCCCAAAAAAAAAAACAGACATATCCAGGCCTTCCCTTCCCTTTGGCCCAACACGGTGGTGGCTGGTGCTTTCTTCCCTTCCCTTCCTCATTCACCTTTCTCATCAGTCTGCATATTTTTCACTGGGTTTCAAAATTAAATCATATTATTTACAATTTTAATATAAATTTTATATTATATATTAATTAATATTGATGTGTATTTAATTACACCAATCAAAGGGAATGAATCCATTGCACTTTGTTTTTATTTTCTTGCATATTTTTTTATTAATAATTAAGTAAGCAGAAAATATGTTATTGGTTCAGTTAACGGATTATAAATCAATATTTTATTTTTTTTATGAAAACATAATTATTTTCAAGAGTTGGGACTTGGGGAAGGGTTCTTGATTTTTGACAAAATTCTCTTCTCACAAAAACCTCATGCCAAAACTATTACAGCAAAGTTCCCGTGGAGGGATTCACAACACCACCGCCCAATCCATCATGACATGGAAAGGGACAGTTAAATTTAGGATCTGGTTTCTTTATATTTTCTCTCCATTTTTCATTTCAACAATTTAAATTAAATTTATTTTTAAACGATTGAAATTTAAAATATAACTAATTTAATCTAAGCTAAAATTTAAGATTTAGTATTATAATTAAAAAAAATTAAAAAATTAATTTTATAAAATATTAAATCATAATTATTTAAAAATAAATTTAATGATTGAGATTAAAAAAAAATTGAGGGAGAAGGAAGTGGAGAAAAGCCAATTCCCAAAGTCCGGTCTTGTTATTCCTCCACGGCAGGACTGCTCCTTTTCTGTTTTTCTCCCCCAAAAATATAGTCATCTTTATTGGTCTCATGCAGACGAATCAAAACAATCACTTTCGGGCGATTTTAGATCTCATCCTAACACCGGGAATCATGAAATCATTGATTAACTCTATTATCCTCAAGTCAGAACCCAAATCTGAGTATGCAGTCTATTTCTACTCTGAATGATGTCGACGGGAAGTAGAAATGGTGATCACTCAACCCTTTCAGTTTTGAATAAGCAGCGCTTAATGCATATTTGTATGGTAATAAAGCTTATACAAGTCGAAAATTTAGAGGATTTAACCTCAAGATTTCTTCGTGACTGGCCTCTGAAGGCAGGAAATGAAAGCCTGGTTTTGAAACCGCAACTCTCTTATTTTATGATTTCTTCCCTTCTTTCTGATAAAAGAACCAGAAACCTTCCTGTAATTAAGGTAGAATAGAGATTTAATGTCATCGCCTATTTTATCCACCAATTTCTGTGGTGGGACATGATGGTGACGGTTTTCATCAAAAGTCTCCACTAATGTCTGTATTGAGAGATATTGGAATTTATCCTCACTTTCCTTTTCCAAATATCCGTTCGTTTTTGCCTCCCTCTTACCTGTTTCCAGTCATTGGATGCGTGCCATATCTTCTGTTTTTGGAACTTCAAATGCAAACACCTAGACCCTGAGAGATACACAGGATGTTATTATAATTTTTCATGTTATGGTCGAAGAGATAGTTGCGGGCTTTATAAAAGGTGATTACTTGAAATAATTGCTTCTGTAAAACCCGGATTCTAAATTAGTAATTTCCCATTGTTCTATCACCTATCACGACGAGCAGAACAGGGGAAACGCTAAAGCAAACTTAGAGGAATCTTTCTGAGTTGATGCTGAAACTGAAACACAAGGTTTTTAGACCTTACAACGAGGGCTCTATCTTTATAGCTTTTCATTTCCAGAGTTTGTTGTCGGCATAGAATATATAAATAGGAATATTTAATGAACCATGCTAACTTTACGATGTATCATATAAACCCACTGAAACTACGATGTATTAAAATTTATTCCGTTTTGAGGCTTTATCTATTAGTTTGATAGAGCTAAACAGTGTAGAAAAGAGCTCATATTAAAAAGAAAGAACTCTGCAAAAGAGGATTTGTGCGGATAAGTGGATGTGTGTGCCATTTTCGATGCGCCACATACGCTGGTGAGGGGAAGAAAAGTAGTTTCACAAGAAAGCAGAGGACACGATGAAATGATGAATTCCACATAAACCAACCAGATATGCCAAGAACGGTGAAGCTATACGGAAGCAGTGCACGTTCTACAGACAAACAGAACAAAGGGTAAAAGCATGTAACTATGTCCATCACCTTTCTCGCTACAATAAGAATCCTGATTCTACTTTGAGTAATGGTATACGTCATGACTCATGACACACACAATTCAAAAACTAAAGATCCCTACTTTTCCTCTTAAAGATGCCTCTACTTCCCGTTTTGCACATGTTTTCCGTCCCTCCCTTGTCTAAAAAAGTTTTCTTCCACTACCGCACTGGCGTAGTTGAGGACAAGAATGTAATCTCGCTTATCCAAAGCTTATATCTTCCTACTTCTGAGAATATAATCTCTGTTAGTTATTGAGAATGCTGTCAAGGGAATTTTCGCAATGGGATTGTTAGAGGACACGGAGCTCCTGAACCCAATTTGTCATGGAAAATTGAGTCGTTGTAAAATGTCATTTTCCCCTGCATTATTAGAACTTCCCAGTTCTAGAAAAAACCAACTATATTGCTTTAGCAAAAGTGTCTCACTGGAATTCTAGGACGGACAAATCAGTTGTTTAGTTTTGAGTTTGTTGAAAAAAAAAATCAGTTTGGTAAATTGAAAGTTATTTAAAAAGTAATTCAAACTAGCTTTTATTATTAGAAAATAACTAAATAATGTTCAAAAGACAAAAATAACTATCGAAAAATGAATTAGATCAGCTTTTAACAGATGGATTTTCTAAACAAATTACTCAAATAACTTTTGTCGAATACTCATTCTCAAAAAGGACTCTTGAAAATCTGACAGTTGAACACAAACACGCCATTGGTCTACCAGCCCTAATCTAAATTTAATGAACTGTTTAACTAAATCTCTCACAAGTCAAGGGGCTGCTATTCTACGTAAAGCCAAAGTAGCCTAAATGTATGGTATGGTGATATATATATATCTATATATCTATATATACATACACCTTTTTCTGCGTATGTGTCTGTGTGGTTGATCTGAGCTGTTAATGACATTTTGAGGCTTGCAACTTGCTTGTTTAAATGCTTTCTAAATTACTGTTTGGTTTCAATTCTGTTTAAACAGATCACCTCCATTTTGAAAAGATTGAGAAATTCTCAACTAATAAGGTGCTTTAGCCAAAAAGAAAGTGCAGGAAAGGATCTGTACATGGGCAACCATGGAATAGAACCAGATCCTTATTTCATCCCAGCTAGTGCTGTCAATATGATTACGTACAATATAGAGTTCTTTGAAAACTGCCTGATGTTGTCTTGCTATCAAATTTGTAGAATAGACATGATATTCTGCCTCAGGTCCACTATCAAAGGTACAAATTTGAGCTTCACGTTCAAAAAACATCATTTTCCAATAGATTTTACTTTACGGAAACAATTTTATACGTCATATTGTATTTGTCTTTCACTAAACTTGTACAAAATACAAACGAAGCTCACAGGATCGTGGGTGCCAATAACGGTACCGCAGGAAGCCAATATACTTTGTTTAGGACATCTTAAGTCAGAGATCATACGCACCATTAATGATGAATTTCTCAAAGGCATAGCAGCGAAATCAAATGATGAAATAGCCATAATTTGATTGAAAATGAGAACAGTGCTACATAATCATCATTGCTACTTGGCATTTGCCACCATATGTTTTTGGAACATATTAATATCTTACTAAGCAACATTTTGCATGGTGGTAAATTGTTTGCATGTTACCTCTATGTCGAAGTCACAGCTGAAATGAAGTAAAGGTTTTATAGGGACCACATCATGGACGGTATCAGCATTAGTTGTTTCCAACGGGGTTGCAATGATGTAGTGACAAGGCATAAAATGTAAAATTGACAAAAAAATAAATAAATAAATAAATAATAATAATAAAGAGAGGATTTTTAGAAGCATTGCCTAGCCGGACCAATAATGTACATATGCCTTTCTCTCTCTATATATATATATATGCACTGCGTATTTTCAAAACCATGCGTTCAAGAAGTGTAAACTCTAGTGAGTCGAGTTTGCATTTTATCCTTTTTGTTGTTCCCTCCCTTGTGTGAGCATGGACGGAAAGAAGTTGGAGTACAAAGGTAAGGAAGCACTCGAGGAGATAGAGAGGCTGACGATGAAGGCTGATGAAGTTCAGGAACGTGTTTTGAAACAGATCTTGACTCAAAATAGGGAAACTGAGTATTTGAACAAGTACATGATGGGAGCAACAGATATAACAGACATAGCAGAGTTTAAGCGATGCGTTCCAGTGATCACTTATGAAGGAATCTACCCCTATATCCAGAGAATTGCTAATGGGGAAGACTCTTCTCTCATCACTGGTCAGCCTATAACAGAAATGCTATGCAGGTAATAAACCTCTGCTAGTCGTTTGTAAATTTTCCCATTCCTTTACATTTTTCACTTTGTAAATATGCTAACCAAGAGATATTGATATGTGCAGTTCAGGAACATCTGCTGGAAAGCCTAAGATGATGCCATCAATTGCGGAAGATCTTGACCGCCGAACCTTTGTTTATAACCTTATCATGCCAATCATTAATCAGTTAAATATGCTAATCCGTTTGTCTTAAATTTCATGTTTTCTTCTAGCAGGTTATGCATGGAGGCCCTTGTTCAACCCTTTATCTGCACTTAGAACGTCCAATTTGTCACTGAACTCAACCATGATTCTCCTGTTAAGCAAATAACCGAAATAACAGGATAAGATATGACCTCACAATTAATAAAATAGTAAGGGGAGGGCCCATTGCCGTTTAGCAGTAACGTTATTTTGCTTGACAATGTTGTGCTTTCCTTAGACCTTGCGGTATTGTTAACTAGTGCAAAGTTGACACGTATCTGATGCGAACCAACTTGAGTTTCAGGTATGTTCCTGGACTTGACGAGGGCAAGGCAATGTTTCTGTACTTTGTGAAGGCAGAAATGTCCACTCCTTGTGGCTTGCCAGCCAGGACTGTGTTAACGAGCTACTACAAGAGCAAACACTTCAAGGGCCGTACGAGAGATCCATGGAATGATTTCACAAGCCCTGACCAAACCATTCTCTGCAATGACAGCAACCAGAGCATGTACTGTCAATTGCTAGCTGGTCTGGTTCATCGCCACCAAGTCCTAAGGCTGGGTGCAGTCTTTGCTTCTGCACTTCTCCGAGCCATCTCCTTCCTTGAACGTAACTGGAAGCACCTATGTGAGGACATCCGAACTGGGAAGCTGAATTCTTCCATGACAGACCCAGGATGCTGCTCATGCATGTCCATGATGCTTTCTCCTGATCCAAATCTTGCCGATGAGGTAAGTGAAATCTGCAGCAGGACATGTTGGAAGGGAATTCTATGCGAGCTGTGGCCCAGGGCCAAGTACATTGATGCAGTGGTCACTGGGTCTATGGCTCAATATGTACCTGCTCTCAAGTATTACAGTGACGGGAAATTGCCTTTGGTTTGTACCATGTATGCTTCCTCTGAGTGTTACTTTGGGGTCAATTTGAAACCTTTATGTAACCCTGCGGATGTTGCATTTACCCTCTTGCCTAACATGGGTTACTATGAATTCCTTCCTCTTGGACATAACGGGACACTTCTGATGGCCTTTGACGATGAGGAGGAAGTCCCAAATGACAAGCTCGTGGATTTGGTGCATGTTAAGCTCGGCTGCTTTTATGAGCTAGTCATCACTACCTTCGCCGGTAAGTTCCAACGGAAGTCAATAACAGCACACACTAAAAAGAACTGTATTTCCGTTTTGCATTAAAATAAAACACGTTTTTAAGGCTCTTTACATTTGTCTTTGGGTCCTTAGCAAATTATGGCACCATGTAGGACTGTATCGTTACCGGATCGGTGATGTGCTTCAAATGGTTGGATTCCACAATAAAGCTCCACAATTCCGATTCATATGCAGGAAGAACGTCGTTCTCAGCATAGACAGTGACAAAACCAACGAAGACGACTTGCATAAGAGCGTGACCATGGCTAAGAAACTTTTAGAGCCTCATGATGCGATGCTTTTGGAGTACACAAGCTACCCTGACACCTCATCAACGCCAGGACACTACGTATTGTATTGGGAAATACTACGTCACGGCTCGGGGAATCAATTTGATCAACATGTGATGGAGGAGTGCTGTATTGCGGTGGAAGAGCAGCTAGACTACGTATACAGAAGGTGCAGGAGCAATGATGGATCAATAGGGCCACTAGAGATAAGAGTGGTGGAGGCAGGCACATTTGAGGCATTGATGGACTTGTTCATCAGCCAAGGGGCTTCAATCAATCAGTACAAGACCCCAAGGTGCATTAAGTCTAAGAAAGCACTCAAGCTGCTCAACTCTAAAGTGAAAGCGTCCTTCTTCAGTCCTAGAGATCCCAAATGGGCACCTATTAATAAGATGGCTTAATTGAGGGTCTTTCAATACTTCATCACTTTTTGTTTCCTCTTCCTACTCCTATTTTGCCGTTACCGTAAGTTGGTACTTGCAAAAGGATGTAGCCTTGGGTTAATCAAATTTGTCTTTCTAAAAGAAAAAGCAGGTGCTTTTATCATTATATAATATATATTTATATCTGCAAATGCAAAACTACTGAATCAAATCTCGGGAAATTAAGAAAAATAAGTATGATTGACTCTAGAATTTGGGAGGAAAAAATATGGAGAAATTTGGTTTTGAATCGTTGAGCGAAGGAACCAGAATATAATACAGCAGTATCTGTGAATTGTGATAGCGGACTCTTACCAAAAGTAGGTAAGTCCATGAGAAGAGAAAGCATCAGCAGCTCTACGGGGTTTAACAAATAATTTAATCATTTATATTAGAACAATTTATTTGGATGAGGTTACCCAACAAAGCAAACCACGTGAATAGAGATAGTTCTAGGTTCAGAATGGCTTCTTTCACGCAACATTTTTCTGTTGTATTTTGACCGTTGATGGATAGTTTAATGGTGCAAATTGACAGCAGAGAACATAAATTCTCAAGAACCAGTTCAAGCAGAGGATCAAGGGAACATCAGGAAGGACAGGACACTCAAATATTACAAATGTCAGGTCCGGAAGCTTAAATAATCAGCTACTGTTACAGTAACAACTGATAACAAAATTTTCACCAGACTTTCATATGGTTCATGATTGCTGGTGCTGCGATTCTCAGATTGAGATAATATGTCAATTCCTAAACGACAGTCAAATCAACCGCGGTTCATCAATGATAATTGAATATTGGAGCTATACCTTTTTCAAAATTTGTGCAGGTTCACTCACATTGTCGTAGTAATAATCGTGTCCCAGCATGCGCATGCAGATGCAGTTTCCCTTGTCCAAAATTTCAAGCGAAATGACGGAATATCAAAACTCCAAAAGGGTTTTGTCTATGTATCAGATATCACACCAATGTAAAGTAGCGTGTCGAAGAAGGAGAGCTTTATGCTGGTCGTAATGAGGTTTTATCTCTATCCATCAGGAAAGATAAGAAAAATGTAAAGTGGGTCTTTAAAGTTGGGTTCATGAGGGAATAATAAGGAAATTATAGCTAGGCTGCTAGAGAGAGGAAAATTATTAGGCCTTTTTGAATTATGGGCTTTAATCTATGAATTTTCGCTTGATGTTACACTTGAATATAAGCATACTTTAATTTAATGGCCTAGTAAATTGCAGGCTTCTTGTCTTTTCACAGCGTTTATCCAAAACAAAACGCACTATCACGAAAAGGACTCCGTATCTTCATTCGCGAGAAAGCATGTTTTCAAGAGCACTACCAAAAGGCATAAAATGTAGGGGAGCTAGGATGGCCACTAGCTTTCTCTCTCAGTTTCATACCATTGATGGATATGGTGGTCTTGAAATCTGCCCACTCAGCAATCTCCTGTAGTGTTAGCCCGACCACATAAAGTGCTGTGTAGTGTAACATCCACTTTCCGTACACTTTGAAATTCCAGAATGAGCGAGAAGAAAAGGGAGAATGCATTTCAGGTGCTACTCTAGCTTTAGTGGCTAGTGAGAAACACATCTATGACCCAACCCAGGAGGGATGAGACATGCGTTTATTTGAACTGATTTGTGCTTAATTAAGTTTGTAGTTTCTACTGTTCATCATTGCAGTTAACCTTAACTAGGCTACTAAGGTCCATTTTACCAATAAACTTAATATTACATAGGAGGTTTAGATATCATCCGTATAACCAAAATTCCAACGAGGAAAAGCTTCAAAGTCAGTCTGCATATGATTAAAGCCGAAGTTTATGGGGAGAAAGCAATAGTGAGGATAAAAAGAAATGGAAAGTACTTTCAATCTTTTCATCCAGAAATGCTAATAAGTGTAAAGTTTGTCTGTCTTTCTCTCTACATTTTACGCACACATACCACTCATTTACTGCGCCAATGATAGTTTTGGATAAGGTTGTTACTTACGTGGGTCTACTATGAAAGATATTGCTGAGGAACTGAATTAGGTCCATAGGCCAAGACATATAAATCTATACGGTCGATATTTGCTGGTGCTTCTATCAATTGCAGTACAGTGTAACAATACGGAATCTACTCACGAGAAAGCACAAGTTTTGCTTCTAGGCGACAGATTATGCTGCAAAATAAAAGTTTACTGTGAGCAAAACGTGTTATCCTCTGGAAGCACCAAACAATGCAACGCTCTTCACCAACATTGCTGTTTCGTGGATTTCGAATCAACTGCTCCAATTCCTAATCCAAGAAATCGAAGTTTTGGTCCATTCTAGAACCCATCTCCGCCAACAAATTCAAACGAGCGATCAATGTTAAAAATTGTTAATTAAAGCTTTATACATAACGTGTTGTCCGTTCAATCTTTTGAAATGCAGGAATTAGCCAAAAGTTCAATGCAGGACAGAAGGGAAGGACAACATGACACGCCATCAATAACAGAGGCGAAACTCCCAGTTATCGGACGATAATTTGTAAAGAATAATTTCACAATCAGAAACAAATAAACATTATTTGTCAAACAAAGTAACAAAAAAACAGGGACGTAATTGTAGGGCAAGCCTAAGAATGGCTAGGCCTTGGGACCTTCACAGCCAATTTCCCCCGTGACAAAAGGGACGACGTTGACCATTTTAGCACCAATGTGAGGCAGCCCACCCGGAGCCAAATTTAGACTCATGAAGACAAGCCTTGACCGAGTGGCCCCATGCAAGATAATAACTAAGCTTCTGAGGAGTCCAGGGTCGGAGCGAAATTGAACCGTGAGCAACATTTGCTGGCACATGGGAACACCGTGACCAGAAGGAGGACCAAAGAGCAATAGTTGTTTAGAACAAAAGCAAAGGTAAGAATTATGAAAATTGGGTGCGTGGCTGAGCTCGGGAAAGCCATAATGTTTTATAGGGGCAATTCGCATCTGGATGAGTGGCATTGGGTTGATAGGCGTTATGATGATTTTCTTGTGTAAGTAATATGTCAGGTCAGCAGTGATTTACTAATGTGCAAAGAATGAGTGGAAATAATAACAGGGAAAGTCAATGCATACTAACAGTAGTAAAAGGCCAGAAGCCAGCCATAATGAGAAAAGCATCATCATTGGCTGCGAGTCTGCGTCGATCATTTAGACTTGACCAGATCCTGTGGTAGTTCTTAGAACGCAAGAACATCGTGGTAAACGTACACAGGCTTTGTCATAGATAATGCCTACGCTTAGTCTTTACCTGCACAAGGCACTCGCGGCGCTTGGACATAAAGGAAAGTAGGTAAACTCAAGTATGATCAACTAATAGATTGAATTTTAGCCGGTGCGTAACCTTTTCTTTAAAAAAAAAAAAGAAAAAAAGAAAAAATCTTCTCAACCTATAAATTTCTGTTTGTCCATGGAATGGAAGCTCTTCAACGCATCCCAATCTTATCGTTCAGAAGCTAATTATCGAGGCTAATGAGCTAGGCTGCTAGGGTCGCCAACGTAGATTGACTGGTCAGAGTGACAAGGAGACTGGAGAAGCAATCTGTTCAAAGTTTTTCGAATCCTCTTCAGAGGACCAAGATTTGCAGATAGACTTCACATTGCACTCGCAAACTGTAAGGCATTAATGGTTAAACCTCAACACTCACGAACTTAAAAGTAGGAAAATCTAATGGCAACAAAATTCCATGCATATGGCATAAGTCAGCAAGCATCTTCTGAGGTATATATGGGGGTGGCCTGCGGTCGACCAAAATCAGAAGGGGAAAAATGCCAAAAGAAAAAATTTTATACATCTATATGGCATATATAATCCATATGAAACAACACTATTCATCAGTTATGAATAGTGCAGTTCACTACCTACTACCTAATTTGAGGGGGGCATGAAAGACTCAGGATATTGTTTTGCTTAAACAAAATTCAAGGACTCATAATTCATAAAAACATAAGTAATCTCACATGACTATCAGCTGATAAGGGGAAAACTTCTCAAATTAAAGGTTCTGATCAGTTGTTATGTCAATTACTCTGCTCAAGTTTGCGTTTGGCTCCCTCCAAGGTATTTTGGAGCAACATTGTGACTGTCATTGGACCCACACCACCAGGAACAGGAGTAATCCATCCAGCTACTTTAGATGCTTCCTCAAAATCTACATCTCCGACAAGCCGATAACCTGACTTCTTAGTTGGGTCATCAACAGCATTTGTGCCAACATCTATGACTGCAGCTCCAGGTTTGATCCAACTGCCCTTGACCTGCGAAGTACAGAATGTTATGAGACAAACTCTCCATCAGGGATGGTGGAAAAGATTTTTTTTTTTTTTTTTTTTTTGGGTGGGGGTGGGGGAACTCTCCATCAGGAAAAAGAAAGCAATTAGCAGCAGACCGATAATAGTACGCAAGGCTCTTGACCAAAAAATTTTCCAGAATTCCTATAAAGAGGTGGTACCGCCAATTACCCTTTTTGCAGCATCTATTGGATTGACTGGAGTCACAGGAGAGTAGGGGAGAGAGAATCTTCTTTATTTTTATTTCTATTTTTCTCGGTATGCATGTATGAAAATATCGTCTTTATCAGACCCTTGACTTGAAGGGAAAATCAACTTCAGTTCTCTCTCTATGTCGATCTATCTATCTAATTTGTATCAGACCCTAGGCTTGAAGGCCTGGTTGCATTTGACAACTACTGTACGTCTGCACCTGTAACTAATTTGTGTTGTATACCAAGGATCGTATAGGAGAGCTATCTTGAAAAGCAACCGACTTGAAACTTTTGTGATCTGTCACATTTTGTAGTAAGAACCATTCCAAATGCTAAAATTGGAAAACTAATTTTGATTGTATGATGGGTTCAGCTATTCGAATGGAAATGAAATTGTGAGAAAGGAGATGCAAATATAGTAAATATGTTTTGCTCGCTACCATCATTGGTTGTCCAGCAGCTGCAATTACAATATCTGCTTCGCGGATGATTCTTTCTGGTTCACTTGTGCGTGAATGAACAATGGTAACTGTAGCATCTTCTTTAAGAAGAAGCATTGAAACTGGCAATCCAACTATGTTACTTCGACCAACCACAACTGCCTTCTTGCCCTTTATACTCACACCACTTCGGTGGAGAAGTTCAAGACATCCCTGCATACAAGTAGTACAATATAAATTAAGTACTCAAGATTATGAGAAAGTTTTCCGCAAGCTAAGTTATGCTTACACGTGTAGCGCAAAAGGTGGAATTTTTTTATTAAAAACAAAAAAAAATAAAATTAAAACAACCTAGAGAATCAGGTTAAACACAGGGTAAAGAAATTGAAAATAAATCCTTTTTGTTTCTAATAACAACAAAAATCTGCTTCAATTTTATGAAGTAGCTTTGTATGAATTCAAACTAGTGTCAATTTCAGTGGATCTCTATCTTCAACTCTTTACTTAGCTTCGAAAGTGTTAAATAAAGGCCTCAGAGATTTCATCACCTTTCTAAATTCTAAAACACTCTATCATCGAATACCAATTCCACAGGTGAAGCAATTTCACAAAGCTTCAGCAAGAAGTTTTTACAATATGTTGATTGAAATCAAAAAATTTGTTGACGTGATTCAGTCCATTCAAAAGGTTTCAAAAGCAAGAGGAATTGCCTTGGGAGTGCAAGGGACAAATAGTGGTTCTCTGCCTTTCATGGAAAGTTTGCCAATGTTCAAAGGATGAAAGCCATCTACATCCTTCTCAAGGCTGATTTCAGTCAAAACTTTCTCTTCATTTATATGTCTTGGTAATGGAAGTTGAACCAATATACCTGTGAACATAAAAACCCAAACTTTTTTTTAAAAAATGAGCGATAAGAACATGCATATGTCACAGAAATCAGCCCACATCCAAACTATCATCACAGGTCTAAAGATTATTCACATATTCTTGACTGACGGGAAAAGAACCATGCATCAGTGCTTCATTCAACTAAAATTATGCTTCAAATTAGTTGACATTTAGACACCCAATTTACCGTCAATCAATTTAACAAGGATCAAGTACTGAACCATTTCAGGGGTTTCTCTTGAAGACATGCAAAGAAATTGGCAGGATGAGCTTAGTTTATTTGTCTTTTCCCTTTCATCTGACATCTGTGTTCTCTTGTTTCTTTTAGGAGTATATGCTATCATCCACCGCTATACCTCTTTACTTTCCATCTACAGTAACATTTATTTCACTCTTTTCCCCCTTAAAGGCATTAAGAAAATATTGGCAAGAACCATGAAACATACAAATACAAGTCTTACTCTATTGCTGATATTGCCATTAGAAGAGTTTGCATCTAATTTTTTGTTCAAACATGAAGAAATTTAGCAACAAAATTGCTTAATAAAGTAGTCAAATATGTCAAGAGTATCTTCTAGTTACTCCTTTACACTTGAGAACTCAAAACTTAACTCTGCACCGCTAATGGCAAACGACCTGGACATAAAACTACGATAACGTATGCAGAGATGATATTGAAAACAAATACGATTTGGTTAGTAATAGACCAACCATGTATATCAGGATTGACGTTTAACTCATGGACTTGTTTGACTAGATCAGCCTCGGATACTTGCTCAGGAAGATCCACATCAAAGGACTTGATTCCTACTTCAGCACAAGCCTTTCTCTTCATACTCACATAGCTTTGTGAATCCTTTCTGTTCCCTACAATCACTACCGCCAGTCCCGGGACCTATGATATTAAAGAACCTACTTCAGCATAAGCAATGAATTAAAAAACCGGCGTGGCATTAGATTTATCCAGTTTAAAATATAGTTCCAGATTATTTCCAGGCCACGATATTAAAAATTAGCTATGAGTTGCTTGGTTCCGTTTCCAGATACAGATTTGACTTCAAAAACAGAAACATAGGAGCGTCTACCTGGCCATATTTTTGAGAGAGAAGGCGAACTTCGCCGGAAATTTCAGATCGGATGGCTTGGGCGACGGCTTTGCCGTCGATGACGGTGGCCACCATGTGATCGAAAGACGAGTTTGTGGATAAGGCGGAGCGGGAGATTGTCTATGGCTGTATGCTGGCAGCGAAGCCCGTGAAAGCGCGCCGCACACCCCCCCCCCCCAAAAAAAAAAAAAAAAAAGGCGCATGAATCGGATCGTCGTCTTTACATGTGGCATAGATTTGGTCGAGTATTACTTAATCCCTCCGTTTACGTTAACTCTGTAATTAATTATTTATTTCACCTCTTCATAGTTTTCAGTCCCTCCATTTTTTTCAGATTAAATCATAATTTTATGTATTAAAAGAAAGTGTTTTTAAGAAAAATTTATTTAATAATAAGAAATTATGTACTTTAAAATAATATTAATAACCTAATGTCTCTTTTTAATTCTAATAAAATCATATTATTATTATTATATTATGAAAGTGACGTGTAGTTTAAACTTAAGACGTTGGGAGAGTAACAGTTAGATTCCAAAATATTAAATTAATAATAACTGAGTCTCCCATAAATTTTTTCAAAAAATAAGTTAAGAATATCAATACAAATTATTGTTATAAATTCAGGAGTTTTAATTATAAATCAGTATTAAATATTAAACATAACTCTTAGATTATACCTAAAAGTTTTATTTATAACTATTTAAATTGATATTTATAATTTAATTTTATGAAAAATTTTATCGAGAAGTTAATTGTTATTCTTCCTTACACATTCTATGAGGCTTCCAATCAAAATAGGGCAGCAGCTTATTGAGAATCATATTATGTATATTTATTCCCATAAAAAATATGTATATTTATTATTATTATTTATTTTAGTTAGATATGGATATAATTTAGATAGATTTAATTGCAATGTATTATTATCTTGGCAAATATTATGTGCTTATTGTATAATTATTGAAAAATTGTAATTATCGAAATTAAATTTAAAATCGGGACATACTGTGTGTGTCTATATATATATAGACCTTGTATGAATCTATAGACTACAGGGGCGTTAAAAGATTATATTTGGCGTCATATTGGGGGCCAAAACTTGATACACACACACACACAAAAAGAGGGAACTAGCCCAAAATTATAAACGTAATCAAAGAAGGTGGGAATTTGATCCCAAAATATCATGCCTCATAAAGACAGGGGTTGTATTATGAACTAGTGATTCATTGAATCCATTATTTGCCATTGCATCAGCAACACCATTACCATCCATTGAGATGAATCTTATTTAAAAATTTTCGCGAGCTCTCAGTATTTCTTTGATATTCACCATAACTGTTGATTCTTTCCTGTATGAAGGCATCAGTTTGCAGAGTATCCCCCAACAGCTTCAAATCAGACTCAAGAATGACTCTTGAATGCCCCATATCCAGTTCAATATAAAAGGCCTCAACAGAGCCCATGCTGCTGCTTCCATCATTGTACATTTCCCAATATAAGAAAAACCAACAATCCATCTCCCTTCCTCACTCAGCAAACTCCCACCACAGGCAGCCTTGTCATCAACAACGGTGATCGCTCCATCAACCATAACTGATAATATGGGTTAGCTTGTGGCCGCTGTGGATCACAATATGTGTACTGCGGGTTGACATAACCTATATCTTGGTGGATTGTATTTTTGCCTAGCTCACAACCTGCAGAGGCAGTTTGACAAGCTAACTTGCTAGTTAAACATATATATTTTTTGCATTTTTTTTCAATTTTAAAAATTGCAAATCCACCACTTTCTATTTCTTTTTTATTGTAAAAAAATCATATTTTCTCTAAAAATTAGTTATCCAAATAACAATAACACTCATTTAAAATCATTAAAAAAATTACAAATTTAAAATACATTAATATAATTCAAAATAAATATATACTTTGTCACAGACAAACATAATGCCTGTCAACTATATTTTAATTTGTTCAATTATACGCTCAGTTGTGGGGCGTCAGCTAATAATTTCAATAGCTATTTTCATAAGCATAAAAAAATGGAAACTATTATCATGTGCATGCTATGTGTGTTTTATATAACAATATAAAATCCTTCAAACACGTGAGGACGTAAAACATAATTTTTTTTTTTACATGTACTGTACTTTATAGCCTCTCTTCTTTTGATGCACAGTGCATGGTTATCAAGTTGTATACTTGTATTATTAGAATTAGGAAAAATATATATAATAAATATGCATCAAATAATATTACATATGCAAGTTGAGCCCACTCTACCGTCAACAGAATTTACGCCACGGTGGTTAAGGTGGGCGCCAGCACGCAATCTCACCCCTTGCAACACCCAGTTTCATAGTGAAATGTCTCCAAGTATTCATAATGATAGAAACAGGATCTACAGGTTTATGGTAACTGGGGTCCGAACTTAATCGAAGTGGATCGAACAAAGTGTGTATTTAAATTAAAAAATTTTTAAAAATAACTTTGTATCCCTACTCTATATCACTATACTTTTTTGGTGTTTTAAATTTTCATATTTTTATTTTTTATTATTTTAAGTTTCTTTATGAACAGAGTATGAGAACCTAAAATAAAAAAAAATAAAAATAGAGGGATATAAAATACTAAAAAATTACAACAATCAAAACAAAATGCAAGTAAAGTGTATGGACCCCAAACTATGTTTTTCAAAAAAATTACAACTAAAATTAACAAATTAAGGTTAGGAAACAAAATTAATTAATATAACAAAATTTATGTTTGTATAATTTTTTAAAAAGTCAGTTAAATAAATTAAAATCTATTTAAAAGATTTAATTCAAAAATCAGTTAAAATATTTAATGATAAAAATAAACATTGTATATATGTTTTCAACTAATTAATAAATAAAAAATAATAAACTTAAAACCACACTTAATAAGTAAAAAATTTAATATTTAAAAAGTTAGAATTAAACGATAAAATTCAAAATATTTAATCATGAAAAGCTAAAATAATAACCATCATGAATTTAACAAAATATACCTCGTCGTGGAAAATTTATTAAAAGAGTTGACATGGCATTACAAATACTCTGGCTTCGTATATGTTTATTCGGTAAACTTGATAAAAATAATTTAATCAATTTTATTCTTGCATTACTATTAATTAGTAAATACAAATATACAATTGTAATAACAGAGGGTATTAAACTTGTGAATTTAAGTAAACTCATGATGATATTGTAAACTCAAATTATAAATTCATAAGAGTTTGCATGTATTAGAAAATATCCATTAGAGGTGTATAATTAAATAGTTAAAATATAAAACATTATTAAAATTTGATTTAAATATATTTCAATTATAAATAATTAAAATTCAATCCATATATATTAATATATTATTAAACAAAACATGGAAATTTCAAAATAAAGCAACTTATTTTTTGTATTTTTTCATTAATAATTTAATATTAATTTTTGCTTTTTAAGTTTTATTTTTCTTTGAATAGGGTCCTAACACTTATAAGATTTGACTTGTATATAGTATATACTTAATTATCTCAGCTTGATAAAAAATTGACAAGCTTAAAAAATTTAATTAAACTTGTATTTAATTCAAGTTTATGAATAAGTTGACATAATTTTAAAAATTAAAAACAATAAATTTAAATGTCAACTCCCAAATTTGATTGAAGCTGTAGCTAACATGGGTTTACGAGCAAGTTGACACAATTAAGTTCAAAATATAAAAACAATAAACTTGTAAATTTAACTTGAGAATTTGACAGCAATGATAATAACCATAATTATAATTTGCTAGTAAACACTGACTAAATATATTAAAATAGGTATTCTATATTTAATAATAAGTCATTCCAAATTGGACCCTTTTGGTGTCACTTTCAGGAACACTTGCATCTTTCCTTCTTGAACTGCCAAGTTATTCAAAAACCCTATTAAATCATACAATACGAGTCAGCAGCAATATCATCCAATTTTAAAAATTTTTATAAATTAATATATTACTAGTCCATCTGTATTCATATATTATTATACAAAATATGAAAATTTCAAAATAAGGCAACTTATTTTTTTGTATTTTTCATTAATAATATAATATTAATTTTTGCTCTTTGAGTTTTATTTTTCTTTGAATAGGGTCCTGACACTTATAAGAATTGACTTGTGTACAGCATGTGCTTAATTATCTTAGCTCGATAAAAAATTGATGAACTTAATAAATTTAACTGAATTTGCATTTGATTCAAGTTTATGAGTAAGTTGACATGATTTTATAAACTAAAATAGTAAAAATAGTAAACTCGAATGTCAACTCGCAGATTTAATTAAGTTGTAGTTAACATGGGTTTATAAGCAAGTTGGCATAATTAAGTTAAAAATATAAAAATGATAAACTTATAGAGTTAACTCAAGAATTTGATAGCAGTGATAATAATCATAATTATAATTTACTAATAAATATATTAAAATAGATATTCTGTACTTAATAATCATTCATTTCAAATTGGACCCTTTTGGCGTCACTTTTAGAGATGCTTGCATCTTCCCACCTTGAACTACCAGGTTGTCTACAACCCCATTAAATCATACAATACAATTTCAGAACTTCTCATGATACCAACCTAAAGAACTCACATTTTTCCTGAATTGAGCAAATAATATATATTATCAACACAAGACACTTTCAACACAACAAGAAGGGATGACAACAAGCGAGAAACAATGCAAGCAATATACACAATCAAGATCAAGTGGCATCAATTATCTTTAGTTAGATTTGACGTAGCAAAGGAGAACAACGTGAAGACATTGCAACGAAACCTTTGTTCAAAGGTTAAGCAAAGCAAGGGGGGATCGGGTAGTGGAGATAATGAAGAAAGAGAAGCTTGATGAAAAATTTAAAAAACATTAAATGCTTTCCAATTTCTTCCACCCCCCCCAACGCGACATTATAAAAGCCAGGGTTGCTAGCTTTGTAAAAAATGGCCCGTTGAAACCCCAACCTTAGTTAATATTTTTTTTTCCACCCAAACAAGAATTTTTGGACTTTTAACATCCCAATCTAGATTTGGGCATTCTCAACCTATGTTGAAATGTTATCCAAACATAATCAAAGTGGTTGGGCTAGCAAAAATTTATGCCTATTTAGTTTAAAGTTGTGTTTTGATATTGGT